CGGGGCTCTCGGCGGGGGCGAGGGCGGGGGGTGGGGGGGCCGCGGTGGCGGCTCGGAGAGTTCGCGGCTGAACCGGTCTGTCCCAGCCCTCAGGCTTGAGGGCTTCAGCCTTCCCTCTGCCCAGCTAAAATGCAAGCGTGGTGCTGAATAAACCCCTCAAAAGAGCATGTATGGCTGCCAGCCTCCTCCCTTCGGATTTTTGGAAAAAAGACTACAGGCTAAGGCACAAGGAATGTAAAAAGTGACGTATTCGGGTATCCTTGGAAACTGAACAAGATTTAACCTGAAGAATGAGTCTTATAAAAACTTAGTAAGAATGATGACCGTGTGTCATATTTTTATGACATTGCAGAAAATTGCAGAAATACTGATATTAGTGCAAGCAGAATTTTAATTCCAGTTGATGAAAGTCCAGTTTTGCCTGAAAAGAATGCTTGATTCTTTATTTCATTACTGATGTATACAAACACCTATGAGATACAGTACAGTGTAATTCTGAACATTACCTGACTGTTCGGGGGGGAAAGTTTCTGTATTGGATGCAACTTATTCTGCAAAATTTTATGCATGTCAACTGATAAAAAGTTGGTACTAAATGCTTAGAGAATGCCTGCCTGGAGAAATCATTTGAAAGCAGTGAATGGTTTCGAATATTATCAACATTGTGCTACTGTGCCATACTGGTCAATATGTTTCGTAAAGGGGGGAAAAAAAAAAAAAGATTTTGCTGTTTGAGTTTTTATTCAGACTGCAGAATTTCACTTCACGTTGGGCCACAGGTCTGTTACATAGCTATGTGGTTAGTTACACGATCTGCATAATAATGGCATATAATACAACCTGTTGTGCTCTGTTCCCCTCTTGCTGTTTTACTTCACTATAAATAGTCTTTCTTGTTGTAGTAGTACCAAAACAGTGTCTTAACTTAATGGCTATTTGGAATGTGTATTTCCACTTTGTATATGAGAGTTAAACACAAAAGGGGTCCTTCTGATTATTCTTAATGCATCTGTTTAAAGTTCTCAATAGCATAGGTTACAAGAGTAAAGTCAACTAAAGCAGCAGCAGTTCTTATTCCCAGTCATTTATTTAGGTGTTCATGTGACTTACCCAATTTAGGACTAACTATTGCACTTACTAGATAGAAATCTCTCTCTCAGCCTACTCAGTTAGTAGCTCTGTTTAGGCTAGTTAGTAGAGATTTCAAGGGGAAGTATTTTGGATCCTTGGAATACTCAGGGTCTGTTATTTTTGAAACTGCTGCGTGGTCATGTTTCTTGTAAGATGTTTAAATGATGCCGATTTTCAGGGGACTCTTATGTAGGATTTAATCTTTAATGGAAAACTTTTCTAGGGTAGCGGCAGATTGTTACCAGCTAGCTCCCTGCGTTAAAAACAGAAGTACTTTGTTTGCTGGTTAATCAATTGTTTGCACTGAGGCTTCTGCTGATCCTCCTGTTTCCTCTTAAGTCAGCCCTCTTAAGTGGTGAAGATGTGTTGTGTAAAGTTTCTAGGGTAAAACTCTCGCAGACTTGATGAAATATTTTGTGGTTCTGTGTTGTATTAGGTACATGATCCAGTTGGTAGTAAGAGAGAAGTATTCTTACTCTTATCAGAATTTAATAATTGACAAGGTCTAGATTTTTATAACTCAGAACATTATGCAGAAGCAAGTTTGGATATGATGCTCGTCCCTACTATCCATCTAGCTCCACCGGCACAGAATAGTATTTTAGTGAAACTACAGCATACTCTTTTCGCTTGTAAGTTGTGAGGAAGAGAAGGGATATTGGGATGCATGTGTCTTAAGTTGTTTGTCTCTTTCATCAGCTTTTGACAGTCTCCCATTTGTTATTTTTAATATTTTGGGACCATCAATGTTCGACAGAAACACTGCAATGAGGAGTGGGGGGGCAGGGAAACTTATTTTGTCTTGAAAGGTAGGTGTAGGATGTGATTTTATAGTGCTGGGGCTGCAGTAACTTTACATGTCAGTTCATTTGCTTCTTTAACTCTAGAGTGTGTTATTCACAAATACTTATTTCTGAATAAATTTCATTTGTATGTCACCATAAGTTTTCTTCTGGGAAAATCTGAGTAACAACAGAACTGGCATTAGAGCCATCTGCCTCGGGGCTTAGAAAGATAATACTGCATTACATTTTACTTGGAAAACTTGCAGTAAAAGGGATTCTCATAATACTGAGTTGTTCTGCTTTGTCCAGGAGAAACTTAATACTTACCTGAGGTAGGCAGACAACTTTTTTCCAGTAGCATGTATCTATGTAATTTATTTCTAGGGGAAGTGAGGGAGACATCTGAAATGGCCTACTGTCAATTTTGTTTTCCTCTAAGGAGTATTTTGTCACTTTAGTAATAAGGTTTGGGCCTGATACTAGCACTGACAGTCTCTATTACTGGAGTGTATGTTATATAGTAATATAATGCACATATGTATGACCTGCTCTTTGGCATGTTGGTGTAACGGTCCTCTCCTAACATTGCTTTCTGAGATGAGCTGATTACTTCTATGATTGAAGAAGCTGTAAGTGAATAGAACATTTCTAATGCTACCTATTTGCAACATTATTTGGCCTTGCAAAGCAGAACTCATGCATTATAAAATCATTAAATTCTCAAAAAACTTCATTATGCACTTAGTACTGTTCACCTTTGCAGAGAATTATGCCTTTGGGCCAAAACTTGAAAAGGTGGTCTCTGACTTGAGAAAATATTCCTCCCATTTGCATGATTGCATGCATGACTGCTTAAGGAGTAAGTTGGCATATATATTTATCAGTAACAGTTCTGAAATTTAAGTGTAATGTTGCTTGACAGACTTTTACATATTTAGTCCCATTTTGGTCTGGTTTTGCTACTTGACCCTGAATAGTTTAGATTAATTATAATTTCATTTTAATGTATTTATAGTAGGCTCATACTTAAACTGTTTGTCAGATTAAGAGTCTGCTCTGTTACATTTTATACAGACATGCACTTTGGCAGTTCCTTTCAGATTATTCAGTGCTTTTCAAAAACGTTTTTATAATTTAATACATCTCAAAAAAATTTAATATTTTTTTTTAGTTGCAGGAGGTGTGTAAAAAGGCATACTTCAAAGACTGAAATAGGGGAAAAAAAAAATCCACCAAACATTTCTCCCACGATTCTCTTTTTAAAAAAGATATTTTGCCAACATCATGGTTTTTGCCAGCTTTTTTTTTTTTTAATGTAGTGATGTAGCAGTTGAAGTTGTGGAAACCTGCTTTGAGCTTCCCAATTGAAGATAGAAATGAATCTCATAAACTACAAAAGTCAGCCATTTTTGTTACAGTTTCTTAAATTTCTTTCATTTATAGTAAATAAGGTAGTTCTTTGTTAACTGTCAAAGAGCATATCATGCAGTGGTTGCTGCATGGATCGATTTGGTTGTTTAATTTGTGTCTCTTCCTAGGTATATGGCTATGTGTAGTTAAACCTGTATTTCCAAATGAACTCTGACTATTCATCTAGTAGCGAAAACAAATAAACAAAACTCAACCAAGATGCAAGTGCCAGAAACTTACAGTTAGGAATTTTACATTTAGAAATCACATTTAATTTTTTTAAGTATCTTTTCAAGATACTAAATTTAATTATGCATTTAAAACAAGATCTCTGAAAGATTAAACTTCATCCTCTTTCAGTACTTTCTTTCAGTGCTTTCCACTTGGATCATATTTGTAGAGATAAACATGAGGATGAGACAAATCTTCAATGTACGTTTTATATGGTCATATCCCCTCTTTAGTTTCATCATGGATATCAGGTTCTGCTTTGGGTGGAATATGATTAATGCAGTCACTTCATTTTTGAAATAATTATTTTTAAAAAGTAGCATACTTGTAGTGTGTAGGTTTGTTCAGTTTGATATCTTTTTACTTTAGTAAATAAAGAAACTGATATTTATAAAGTATTTAAAATTTGAATTCCAGAAAAATGATCCCCCGTTTCAACTCAAACTTCCTCCAAAGGCAGCTAGACCTGAAAAAGAAATTGACCCAGAATATGAAGAGAAGATGGTAAGTGTTTTCATGACAAAACATACTGCAGCTTTTTATGACATTTGTTTGCTTGAACTAGATCAACACAGTTACAAGGAGTTATTGCAGACTGGATGTGTCAGCAAAGAAAAACGAATCAAGATTCATTTAAATGTCTGGTTCAGTGTGGTGTTTCTCACAGGGGCTAACAGTAGGTATTCAGTGAAGAATATGAGAGCAGAGGAAGCAGATAACGATAGTTCTGTTAAATACTGTCCCACTCTTCCAAGTATTTTTGTCTGCATGATTTCTGGAGTTGGAGGCTGTGGTTTTTATACTCAGTAGTTGTCAGTGGATTTCGCCCCCGCCCCACGGATTTGTCTGCTTGCTTTTTTTCGCCCTCATGTCGGTTTAGTTATCCACACCCTCCTGTGGTAAGGAGTTTCTATTCAATTGCATTTTATAGTTAGAACTCTCCCCTTCTGGTTTTGAATCTGTCTCTGCTAGTTTTATTTGATGACCCCTGGAGTCATCCTTAAGCCACTTCTTAAATGAGAGAAATACTGAAGCTGCCAGTTTCTCATCATAGAAAAACATAAAGGTGTTAAATGTTGATATGCCCCATAACATATGTGCCATAACAATGCAAAAGAGGATCTGTCCATGACACAAATGAAGGGAGCTTGTAGTGCTGGAGAGGAGAGTTAACAGGGTAACGTCTGTATTACAAAGAGGCAGAAACCAGGAGGATGCTACAAGACTTGTTCTTGAATGACACGTAGTAAGTTCTTGGTTGAAGCTGGTATCTGTATCTTGCTGCATTTTTCTTAAAAGCTTTAATGTTAAATGGATGCCTAATAATTACAGTAGAGTCTGAAAGGATTGGATACCATAGAAGCCAGGGAAGAGTATCACTGTTAGACATAGGAAAACTGATACCTACTTGTATGAAGTTAACTTTTAGCCAAAGAGAAGACACACAAGTAAATCTGTTTGTTAAGAATGAGTTGAGTAAATAACTAAACTTGGTTTCACAGTAATACATGGTGAATTTACATCTTTCCTAAATTAGAATGTTAGTTCAGTTGTTCTAAGAGGCAAAGGTCTCAAAATCTTACCTCTCATCAATTGTGCAGTCGTGAGCTGACCTTTATTGTTTATCAAGGCACGCTGCTTACACCCAGCCAATAATTTTGCAGGCAAAAAAGTATATTGTGGCATTCAATATAGAACCTTACCAGTTATGGTTAGCTTGCCAAAACCATCATGTATTATTGGTTTAAAATAAATCCTCTGAATGGATTTGCTCTTATCCTGTATGAGCGTAAACATCCACGTCTTTACTCCCCCTTTTAGAATTGTTTTTTTTCCTTAAAAGTTTATTCGGTTTTCAAGTTATTTACAGAAATGGACCGATAATGAATGCAAGGGAAAATTAATACTAATTTTTTTCCAGGAGAGCTTTGTAAAGTTGTTTATTTGCTGGTAAGTGATGCGCTATTAAAAGAAATGCATTGCCCTCATGTGGCAAGATCATGCATTGCACATCAGGTTCCTTTTTATTGCCCTTTTCTTTGGTTTGTGTTACTGCTGTGAGAGCACTTTTACTTGCATATAAGTTACCTGCAGAAAAGCTTTCTGTTGTTTGTATATTTTTTTACAAAGGTTATGGTACAGAACTACAATTTCATTTTTGTAGTTTATATCAAGATATTTAATGAGATCACGTGAAAATTGCTTTAAGTGGTACAGTGTTACATGATGCTTAGAAATGGCATAGAGAAACTGATAACAATTGCATTCTGTCAGAATTTGCATTTTATCGTATTTTTCTTAAATTATGTAACATGTTGTCTTTTAAATATAGAGAAGGACATATGTTTTGCTGTGTTTATATAGTGAAGTGCATATGCCTCATTGATATGGCAAAACTGAAACAATTCTTTGATTCTATGATTGAAACTGGAAATCTGACAGCAAAATTCACAAAGTTCAGCGAAAGCAGTATTGCGCTGGTGCATCCGTTACTTTAGTCATACTTCTAAAAACAGAGCTACCACATTGTTGTCTTGGGTCAAATCCTGATAGCCTTGAAGCTGATGGAAGTTTTGCTGCTGACTTCAGCAAGGTTAGGATTTCATCCCTTACTATAAGTCAGAACCTTAGTTTTTTCTTTACCTTTTGTAGACAGCCCTTTAAAGCATCCCTTCACAGTTGCTGGTGTGCCATGCAGACTTAAGCAGTCTATACAAGTAAACTGTTTTTGCATTGTTTTACTAATCTTTGAGTTTTGAATGGGGATGCGTTGCTGGGATGAGGTTATCAAGTCCTGCCACGTCTTCCATAATTGCTGTGGTATTCGTGAAGGATCATTTGAACTACCACATGTTACAATTGGGTGCTCTAAAGCAATTCATGCTTAGCTGTAAGCTGAAGCAGCTTGAGAGCTATTTCATGATGCTTGTAGCCTCCGAGTTGGCTAACAGTAGGCAGATGGTCTTGTCAGTCTCTCCTCATATAAGTTGTTCTCACAAGTGTCTGAATTCTGTTTCTTAATAAAAATACATTTTTTATGAAGAAAAGTTACTGATTTTTCTTTTTTTAATTCTCTCCCCGCTTTGGAAACTAGAAAGCAGATCGAGCAAAAAGGTTTGAGTTCCTTCTGAAGCAGACAGAACTTTTTGCACATTTTATTCAGCCTGCAGCACAAAAATCGCCAACATCTCCATTGAAAGTCAAGTTGGGACGGCCACGGATGAAGAAGGATGAAAAACAGAGTTTGATTTCAGCTGGGGAGTATGTTTTATTTTTATTTCCGACTTCTTACGCTTTCAAACAAATTATGCATTTTAACATATCTATTTAGTTAGTAGCATAGAGATTGTGCTTTAAGTAAGTCCAGAACTTTTCCTATTGATAGTGTATCATAATTTCTTTAAAAGCTTGTTGGTGTATGCATGCTGATTCATCAACATCAGTATGACCTTGGATCAGGAATGCACTTTTAAAGTAAATTCCCTGATTCTTGTCACTTACCATGCTTTGGTCCATATTGTGGAGTGATTTGAGTTGAATTTCTTTTGCATAACACTGAACTAGAAGATGCACTCCAGAAATGCACCTGATGTGTTCCAGCTGCTAGTGGACATGTCAGTGGGACCAGAGTGGAGCTAGATCAAGTTAAAACAAGACAACGTGCATGTAGTGTGGATGTTTGATCCTCAGCACCAATTGTCTCGCTCCACCGGTCTGTCTATATTAGTCAGTAATGCAGGCATGTAGTGTTTCTGAGGGGTCTTGTAATAGCAAGCAACTAGTTTTTGGAACGTTTACAAAATGGCATTTTCTATTTTATAAATTTTTAAATTTTTTTTTTAATTGAATATGTGATTCTTCTGAATGGTATAGTTATCAAGTAATTGATTCTAAGGCCACCACGGATGTGTGTCTTCTATTTCTGTGTTGCTCATTAAAAAGTACCTTAGAGAACTCATGATACTTGTTGTCAGAGTATAGTTATGGTTCTGGAGGAGAGGGCTTCATATCAGCCTGTCTAATTAAAGCTGCGATGAACCATAAGGAATAACGTAATAACAGGACATGATTTTGGTCAGGGTACTAGAACACACATTGTAGATCAATGATTTTCTCTTTTGATTTTATAGTCAGTATTTTGAAATTATTTCATATAAACGTGAATCTTGGATTCTTTCTTTAGTTATCGTCACAGGCGCACAGAACAAGAAGAAGATGAAGAGCTGTTGTCAGAGAGTCGAAAAACGTCTAATGTGTGTATTCGATTTGAGGAGTCTCCTTCATGTAAGTATTATTGACAGTTTTCTGATTGCTTTGATGTAATTCAAATCTGAGCAGATAGCAATTAAAATTTTCTACTTAGAATTAGTATTTTTCTACTTAGAGGAATCTTACATTTACAGATGTGAAAGGAGGAACACTAAGAGATTATCAGGTTAGAGGTTTGAACTGGGTGTGTATTCGATTTGAGGAGTCTCCTTCATGTAAGTATTATTGACAGTTTTCTGATTGCTTTGATGTAATTCAAATCTGAGCAGATAGCAATTAAAATTTTCTACTTAGAATTAGTATTTTTCTACTTAGAGGAATCTTACATTTACAGATGTGAAAGGAGGAACACTAAGAGATTATCAGGTTAGAGGTTTGAACTGGGTGATCTCATTGTATGAAAATGGTGTTAATGGCATTCTGGCAGATGAAATGGTAAGCAGTAATCTTTTGGAATTTTTGTGGTAATTATTGAGCAAAATTCAACATTAAAGTGCCTATAGTATTTAATGTATATGCAGTAGTATGCATCATTCTGCAACAGTTAGATTTCACAACTGGAATTGTAATGCAGTGAAAGAAATTGTAGTGCAAACATTTGCTGTGTAGTTTGCTTTAAACAACTTAAGTGGCAGAATTATATAGTAGGAAAATTGTTTGAAACTATTTCTGTATGGTATTTCATTTCAGCAGGTTTCTTTCCCCCCCTTCTTTGTCAATGCAGGGTCTTGGTAAGACTCTGCAGACAATAGCATTATTAGGCTATCTGAAGCATTACCGAAACATTCCTGGGCCACACATGGTCCTGGTTCCAAAATCAACTTTGCACAATTGGATGAATGAATTCAAACGCTGGGTTCCATCATTACGTGCTGTTTGCCTTATTGGAGATAAAGATGCCAGAGTAAGTGCTCTACATTTCAAAGATGTATGCATTATTTGCCAAAAACTAGCATTTGGGTATGTGGAATTCTGCCTAAGCTACTTCCTTAATTACAGTATTTTTTAGTAATCTTTAACTGTATTAGTGTTGAAAATGCGAAGTGTTATGCTTGTAACTATGAGGAAAAAATGCAAATCAATAGGTGAAATAATAGACTGGGATCAAAGTACAGCGGTCTGACCTCTTTTTCTGTTGTCTTCCTCTGATTTTTGCACCTTTTTTCTTTTTGATCTCTTCTGTGTTTGCATTGTGACAGTGTTTATTAACTTTCCTTTATTGTCCTCACTTTATCTCTTTCTTCACCTTTTTGACACCTTTTAGGTGTCACCTAAAAGACACCTCTTTACTTCTGTCTTATGTCCATGTGTTGCCTTGTAACTAGGATTCTGTTGTAGAGCTTTTCATCTTCCATAGCGAAGGCCTTAAAATAGATATAGGGTGGTTTTCTAACTTGAAGGGGATCAACGAGCTGGATGTTCCTGTGAATTCTGTGTCTCCTCATATGGATTGCATGGCTGCCTGTTACTACTTGAGGGTAGGAAGGCTTTACAGAGGGATCTGGACAGTCTGGATTGATGGGCTGAGACCAGTTGTATGCAATTCAACAAGGCTCGGTGCTGGGTCCTGCACTTGGGTCACAACAACCCCTTGCAATGCTACAGGCTTGGGGAAGAGTGGCTGGGAAGCTGCCTGGCGGAAAAGGAGCTGGGGGGTGCTGGTCGACAGCCGGCTGAATATGAGCCGGCAGTGTGCCCAGGCGGCCAAGAAGGCCAAGAGCATCCTGGCCTGTATCAGAAATAGCGTGGCCAGCAGGAGCAGGGAAGTGATTGTCCCCCTGTACTCGACACTGGTGAGGCTGCACCTTGAATAGTGTGTTCAGTTTTGAGCCCCACACTACAAGAAAGACATTGAGGTGCTGGAGCATGTCCAGAGAAGGGCAACGAAGCTGGTGAAGGCTCTGAGAACAAGTCTTACGAGGAACAGCTGAGGGAACTGGGGTTGTTTTCACAAGTAACAAGTGATAGGACAAGAGGAAACAGCCTCAAGTTGCGCCAGGGGAGGTTTAGATTGGATATTAGGAAAAATTTCTTCACTGGAAGGGTTATCAAACACTGGAACAGGCTGCCCAGGGAAGTGGTGGAGTCACCATCCCTGGAGGTATTTAAAAGCCGTGTAGATGTGGTGCTTAGGGACATGGTTTAGCGGTGGACTTGGTAGCGTTACGTTAATGGTTGGACTCGATGATCTTAGAGGTCCTTTCCAACCTAAATGATTCTGTGAGAGGAACTGCTGGTTCTGCCAGTGATTTGGGGAGTTCCTTCCAGTGCTATAGTCTTGGATTTGACTGTACTGCTCTTTGCAGATTGTTTTAATTTGAAGTCTGATAATATTTGTACCACGGCGTGTTTATTGCTAGTTCCATGGAATGAAATTAAGATTGTGTAGAAGGGAAGCGCGCACCTTCACTTTGTACTTTCTTTGCTTTCAGAGTTTTATGTTTGTATTGTCATAACTTTTCATGTCCTCGTTTTCTACTTAATCTTTCTGTTCTGTGGTGGCTAAAGCACCTCTGAGCTTACATTTGCATTTGTAAGTCAGTGCATGGTATTGTACAGAACACTCCTTTATTAGGTAGTTCTTCAAGGCCGTGGGCTTGAACAGTTCTGTCAGTCCTACTAGCTGGGGTGATCTGTGTACCCCACTAAGTAAGTTCTTGGAGATCTGCATGCATGGCTTTTCCATAGGGTGGTACTCTTTCATGTGAAAGGATTTATATGCCTAGATATGTATCCCTTACAAAACAGAGATGGGACAGAGGAGGGAGATCTGTAGGAAAGAGAGAAGATGGGAGTGGGCTAGGTGAGTTGTTTTGAAACACTTTTTTGTGGATTGTGTCTTTGGATTAGTTAGTTTAGAGGTTTTTTCCCCCCCTATTGGTAGTATGTACTATATCTAAATTACAGAAAAATTATGCTGAAGAGTAAATAGTTTATTTTGAATAGGAGAAAATTTGTGTTTTGCTTAACCCCAGCTGATGATCTGTCTGTGCCTAAAGTACAAAGGATTGAAGGCTTTTGTTACAGTAACTTTCAGTTACTGAAAAGATGTTTCAGAGTCTTCTTTTGTGTGCTAGCTTAGCACATCAGTAATGTTGGCGGAGATAGGTTTCACTGAATTCCATATAAATTGTTCATATTTATAAATGTTTATTAATTTAATTGTTCTGCTTTAGGCTGCTTTTATCCGTGATGTTATGATGCCTGGTGAATGGGATGTTTGTGTTACATCATATGAAATGGTAATTAAAGAGAAATCGGTCTTCAAAAAATTTAACTGGAGGTACCTGGTAATTGATGAAGCCCACAGAATAAAGAATGAGAAGTCTAAGGTAAACTCAAAATTATTTGATATTTTGAAGATAACTTGACACAAAAGATTCCATCTGATTTTAGCAGATTTTAAGTGTTAGGTGTGGTGGTTTTTTTAAAATATAAGCTGTGAGCTATTGGGTGGTAAATACGAATTTATAGGTAGCTCACTGTCTTTTAAATTTAGTTGTCATTGTTTCAGAAACTGACGAAAATTCATTATGCTTAAATGTACATGATGATGATAACTATTCGTTGTATTTCTAGCTGTCAGAGATTGTACGTGAGTTCAAGACAACAAATCGATTGCTGCTTACAGGAACTCCTTTGCAGAATAACCTCCATGAGCTGTGGGCATTACTGAATTTTCTTTTACCTGATGTCTTCAATTCTGCAGATGTAAGTTGAGGTTTGGAAGTACAGTCTTGTTCTTGTTATTTTGATTCCCAGGCTGCTTTCTGCAGAAGAGAAGAATGACCAGCCTAGTAAGAGACATATGATGCGGAAGACCTGGATTCAGTAGAAGCTCTGTGGCTGTAAACTACTTTTTTTGCTCTGCCTAGTTAAAATAGTGCATTCTGTTACTGCAGATAAGCCCTCAGGCCAATAATAGCGAATGTAATACTTTAAATAGTTCAAGAATTATGCAAAGTGGAACAAAATTTGCAAAAGCAATGCAGAATGAAGAATATGAAGCATCCAAATAGGCATAAGCCTTTTTTTTTTTTTCATTTAGAATTTGAGTCATCTTTCTCCTCTTTTACTGCTAATGTTTCCTTGTACTTGTATTGCTTGCTTCCATTGTTTTTGCTCTGTTGTCCATCTCATTTACTTAAGGATTCTGGTTTCTTTTTCTTATTTTACCTTCTTGCCCCATCACTACATAAGCACTAAGGGGAAGAACTTGGACACTGCAGTGATGAGCGTGGAAAACCATTGTAAATTAAGCAGAGTAATAGTATTTTGTCTGCGGAGTTACTCAGTTGACTTGAATGTTACAACGTGCTGGGGAGCTGGCACAGAATTGCAGACTGATTTTTCTTTCACTCACAGAAGTCATTTGTCTCAAGATTTGTGCCACTCTTGGCTGGAGTGAAAGAGTGTCAATATGTGTCTGTTAAAACTACAGATGATAAACTGTTCATACCAATTTTGCTGTTTCTTACCACAGGATTTTGACTCATGGTTCGACACTAAAAATTGTCTCGGTGATCAGAAACTTGTAGAAAGACTTCATGCTGTAAGTAATTAAAGCTGTAATCACATGTCATCGTTAGCATACACAGCGTAAAAAAGAAAAACAGATTATTTCTCCCTTCATCTCAAAGTTGAGAAGATGAACGTGAAGGTATTTAGTTACAGAAATGCCCAGCAGAATTTTCATGAATTAAATATTGGAACTTACTATTATAGATACTGCTTTTTGTAACATTACTGTTTGAAGCAGTCAAAATCTATACATAAAATGTGAAAATGAAGAATTTTGAGATCTTTTTGAAACCACTTATTACTGTGAATAGTATACTGATACACGTCATGCTAGTCTGAATAAAGGCATGCCTTTACCTTTGTTTTACTGTGCATGAGATAAAAGACATTTTTTATCATACAGTAACAAAACAAATTAGAAAGAAGTACAACATTCACTGCTTATCTTTGAAATGTTGTATTTTGTATATGCTGCTAGTGGAAATGAAACAGAGTTTATGTTAAAAGGTAATAAATAGATTTTATAAACGTATGGGTTTGGCCCTTGCTTAGGATAACGACTGGGATGAATATGGCAATCTTTATGTAGTGTTACATATTTACGTGTGGACTTAGCCTATTAGTGGACAGCTTCATTTTGCAGACTTTAGCAGAATTTTTCTGAAGGAGTCACTGTGACAGCAGTAGTTTCTGATTAGTTCTGAATAAATATCAGATAATTGAATCTGTTCATTTTGTATTTGAGGCAATCAATTTTATAAATTTATCTGTGGAAAAACTCTTTAATTTGTGTAGGTTTTGAAGCCATTTTTATTACGTCGCATAAAAGCTGAAGTAGAAAAGAGTTTGCCTCCGAAGAAGGAAGTAAAAATTTATCTTGGGCTCAGCAAAATGCAGAGGGAATGGTGAGTTATTTACATCAAAGTAAGATTCTTTTCTGATAAAGAACACTACAGCTCTTCACACTGATTTTTTTTTTTTCTTTTTTCTTGTAGTTGCATGTTAAGACAGTCAGATGGAGAAGCCTATTTATAGCTGTCTTTGGGGCTTTTTTTAAAGATGTGCAAGTTACAAATTGCTCGGGAAGGGTAGTTGAAAGGGTTGGGAGGAAGAAAGCAGAAACTTCTTTTCCTTCCTGAATTTTATTTGAAAGAACATATGCCTGCTAAGTTTCCTCCTTTGATGCGAGTATGCATGCACCAGTAAAAGTCTGAGCTGAAATTAAAATAAAAGCTTGAGGAGCCACATACCCAGAAGAGATGTGAGAAAAGGAGCCAGGTCAGTGTAGCAGCTTCAGTCACATAAATGATATCTTTGATCCGCTTCGTAGTCCTAAAATGGAAGTGTAAGATAACCCAGTAAATGACAGATCATTGTCCCTCACAGACAAATTGCCTTTCATATTTAGGTATGGATTTATAAATAGTTATTATCAGTCAGATGTTTTTGCCAAGTTTCATAATAATATAGCTTATTATTATGTAAACAAAGCAAACTCCTACATCCAGAAATAAGTAATTGGGATATTGCAGGGTTTCATTCATGTTTTAAATATTGAATAAAACCTGAGAGTTGTTCAAAATTGCCTGTAAAACTTCAGGTATACCAGGATCCTGATGAAAGATATTGATATCCTGAATTCAGCTGGGAAAATGGATAAGATGCGTCTGCTGAATATTCTGATGCAGCTGCGGAAATGCTGTAACCATCCTTACCTATTTGATGGTGCTGAGCCGGGCCCTCCTTACACCACTGACACACATCTCATCACTAACAGTGGTAAAATGTTAGTTCTGGATAAACTGCTAGCAAAACTCAGAGAGCAAGGTGAGTACCATTTATGAACAGTAGTGATCTGAATGCTTGTTGTAAGTAAAACTACCTTTCAAAAATTGCATAGATCCATTCTTGTCTTTCCTCCAGCGAATGCATTCATTACTTTCAGTGAGGTTTCTGTTGAAAACCATTTTTCTGTAGATCTTAACACATGGAGGGAAGGAAGTCTTACAGGAATGATGAGGAAGACTGATAATATGGAGAAGCAGAAGGAAAGGAAGAAGAGCAGAGCCTCCCTTCTGCTGTCTTTCTGACGAGAGGATTAGTTTGTCTGTGCACATCAGTCGTCAGCTACTTATCTTACCATGGCTTTAAGTGTTCTGTTTCTTCAGCTGTGTATTTCTTCTGTATAAATTATCAAATAACCTGTCTTGAGGAGAAGTTAAATCAATACCAGAAAAGCAACTTCAGAATAACGGCTTATTTGAGTAAGTTAGGCATAGTGCAGAATATTTCACATAGAATTCTACTCATGCTCTATAGTAGGCTCTGTGATAAGATGAATGTGAAAACGTAAAACCAATGACAAAACCTTCTGTGTTGTTCTGTCAGGTTCCAGAGTTCTGCTTTTTAGTCAGATGACTCGCTTACTGGATATTTTGGAAGACTATTGCATGTGGCGTGGATATGAGTACTGCCGACTTGATGGACAGACACCACACGAAGAAAGAGAGGTGAGAAAGTTGTATATAAACAAGAAATTTCTTTGGTTTACATATTAGATTATTAAGAAGTTATTATTAACACACACACACATATATATAAGTAGCTACATTATTGTTTAAAGTAAAGGAAAAATGCTACAGTTTAAAAAGGCTGCTAAGGGTATATGTTTTTCCTAATCAAAGTCCACAGTAAAGTAGGTTTCATTTGTTCCTCAACTAAATGAAAAATGTAATATTTTGTGGACTCAGAATGGATTTTTCCACCTGTGCAAACCTACAGTTTCTTACTTCTATAAAAAATTGGTTTTGGTATGAAAATTCTGTAAATGTCAAAGAAATTTCATTGAAAAGCCACCAACATATTGGAAGCTTGTTTGAAAACTCTGGTACTTTAATGACACTTTTTTCTTTTAGGAAGCAATAGACACATTTAATGCTCCCAACAGCAGTAAATTCATTTTCATGCTGAGTACCAGAGCTGGAGGTCTTGGAATTAATTTGGCAACTGCTGATGTGGTTATTCTCTATGATTCAGATTGGAACCCTCAAGTAGATCTGCAAGCCATGGTGAGTTAACTCCCTAATACACATTCGTTTGTTAAAGTTGTCATTGTTCTATTTTGTATGAGTGTTTCCAGAACTTGTGTTTTTGTCACTTTTCTTTACTTTTTGTATTTGATACCAAGAAACTAAGGAATTGAATAACAAGGGTATGAACAGAATTGTGGAAGAAACTGTAGATTTTTCTCTGTAAATATCTGTCTTAATTATTTTTGTAATTGAATAAGATTACTTCTGTCAAAATACTGTATCGATATTGTTTATCTGTAGAATTATTCTTAATTCTGTCTTTCCAGAAGACAACAGTAAATGAATAAGAGGGCTGTTTCCAAAATAATAGCAAAGAATTAAAAGCGTGCAGCTTTAAATTCCTCCCTTTTGGGAAGCTTATGCTTTTGCAACCCACCTTGTTTCTGCATAAGTGTAATATCATTCGGTGGTGACACCGGGGAAAAAAAAAACCCTTATCTTTGGGTTAAAGATATGTTTAGTAAACATACTAAAATCTTATCTTTCTGAGTGCTGAATATCAAAAAATAAAGTCTAAAATTTGTTTCATGTGGAATAAAAATCACATGATCCTTCTGGCATGATTGGGGGATGTTTGTTCTGTGGTTTGTGGGTTTTGGGTTTGGTGTGTTTTTTGTTTTTTTTTTTTTTTAATGCCCTTAAACACATCAAATATTTACTGTGAATAACTCATCCTTTCGATATGCATGCTGACGACCAATAGTAGACTGACTTCCTGGAAACTGATGAGTGTGATATGTGAGCTTTAGTAGGATTTTCAGAAAGAAATGAGTATTATGCAGGAGAATAAAAGATTCAATGACTCGTGTTTAAAGGACAGTCAGAAAATCCTGGTACCGACAGCTTGAAGGCCAGTTGTTTAACTTTTTTAATTTAAGAGGACAAAATAATACTTTTATTCATGTTTTCCAGAGAGAATAAACACCAGTTTTGTTACAAATAAATATAGTATGTTAGTCATATAACCTCATTTGCTGTGTATTGTACCTGTACTATGTGAGCTGCATATTGATGCTTTAATGTAGCTAGCTTGGGACAACTACAGTATTGAAGCTGTGGCTGCATGGACCTTGCCCATGCAATTAACATGCTCAAGCCAGGGATGCCAAAGTTTCAATACCTATGTCAAGTGAGAGAATTAGTTTGAAAGCAGTGCAGATGTGTTTATGTATATACCGTTGTATCTCCACTTCCCAACTGCAGTCTAGACAGACGTTCAGTTATCTTCATTTACAATGAGGTAGACGCATTTATTACTATAGAATTGACCCAAACTTAAAAGGTGTAATAGCCAGATATAAGTGAATATTACTATACTGGTTTTACGTTTTTGTATACTCTTGAATAAGCAAGGAACCAAGAAATATGTGCTAGTTTCAGTCTGCTGTTTCTGCTATATAGCAAGCTAACTGTCTATTGCTTGTGAGTTTTTGTTGCTGAACACTCATTGATTTATGTTTGTTAGGATCGTGCGCATCGTATTGGTCAAAAGAAACCAGTACGGGTGTTTCGACTAATCACTGATAATACTGTTGAAGAGAGGATTGTAGAAAGAGCTGAAATAAAACTGAGACTGGACTCTATAGTTATACAACAAGGTATCAACTGCTATATATGTTTGTCTGCAACAGAATTGTTCAGTCCCTTAAAGTATGGGCTAAATAACTGTACGAATGTACAGTATGAGAGAAAGCAGGCCTTGTGTATAATAGCAGTACACTAAATCAACCTAAGAAACTATAATGTATAAGTTATTCATTTGTTCAGCTGAAATTTTTGAAAAAACTTCGTTTTCCTAAATAATGTGGGTATAGACTTATACTAAGATTGTAAATGAGCAAACTACAGCTGAATAGATGTTACTTGGTTTTTGTGATATGTTAAAAAGGAAGACAAAAAAAAAAGATACGTTCCATGATAGATAAAAAGAATTATATAGATGTGCTTCTTACCACATATGAATTTACTGAACATTAAAACTGCTTTGTGTGTCTTTGTTTAGAAGCTCTTGGAAGAATAGTTTGTCAAAAACTAAGGTTCTCAAGCTAGATTTTGAAGGTTGGTTGTATTTCCAAAAGGGTGGGCTCCTGAAGGGATGATGGTCAAAATTTTGATAGTCTGTGAAGATATGAGATAGGATAAATGAAATTTTGAGACAGAAATTAGAATTTGGGAAAAATGTTCAGAGATTTGGGTTGAAATCAGTAAAGTGAGTGTTAAACATCTTAAGTACTTTTTAATGGTTATTACAGAATACTTTGTCATTTTTCATCTTGAAATAGGATTTTGATCTTAAAAGTTCAGCTAACTTTGTAAGAGTAAGATCTTAAACATAAAATTTGGATTATCTGAATGTGAAACATTCTTTGTTATGGCTTGATCCAAAGTTATTATTTTTTTATTTTCCCTGAAGTTCCCGATTTCTGTTTATTTTCAGCTCAAGTGAAACGTAATTTTTTCTGTATGGTTCTTTTGTTTTTCCTTTCTTGTTCTGCCAGTGAACTAAAAAAATCCACTGTTTGCATGGTCTTACTAGAACTTTTGTATTGTAACTTTCATCGTTTCTTCTAATTTTAGGAAGGCTCATAGACCAACAGTCTAACAAACTGGCAAAAGATGAAATGCTGCAGATGATCCGGCATGGAGCCACGCATGTTTTTGCTTCCAAAGACAGTGAGCTGACAGAAGAAGATATAACCACTATTTTAGAAAGAGGTGAAAAGAAGGTTAGAGAACAGTTTCGTACAGAATTCAAAATGTGTCAAACATTAAATATATATGCACAAAATATAAATTAAATCTGATTATGTAAATCTATTTTTATGCCCAACTATTACTTTACTATTCGTAAATATTTTAAAGCTTATGAAAGTTTTGAAGGGGTAGAATTAGTAAGTTATAATTATTTTCAAAGTTCAGACTGCGTGCACCGTATCTTAAGCACTGTTTATTTTGTGGGCTTTTAGAGAGATGTAAGTTTTATGCCAGCAATTCTGATAGACACAAAACCTTTATGGAACTTTATTAGGGAATAGGTAGCTCTGTGGAAAAATGAACGACCATTTCGTCTCCAAAGAGCTGGGCATAAATTTTGTTTTAAATTTAAAAGTTGAATCATACAGTTGTAGGGCTACATCCCAGCATAATAAATTTAGTTTAATGGAAGTCTTGGAGTCAAATTGTTCAAAATTGAAAAGCACTATGGGCGTCTCTCCTTACAAGAAAAAAGTAAGTAAAAGTTTAAAGCAGAAAAAGACATTGAGAATGTTTTAATAATGATGAATCCTGTTTTTTTCAGAAAAGATAAAACAGCTTCAGTGAGCCTAAAAGTATCTTCCTGTATTTTTAGACAGCTGAAATGAATGAACGATTGCAGAAAATGGGGGAGAGCTCCTTACGAAATTTCACTATGGACACAGAGATGAGCTTATACAACTTTGAAGGTGAAGATTATAGGGAAAAACAAAAGGTAATTTTTCTTAGTCTTTAAGACTTCAGTTTAGAGGTGCAAGCATGAAGGCCGTACTAGAAATGTTATGGCTATAAAGGTTATTCTAGAGAAGTAAGAAGCTACTGAAAAATTCACGTAGCTCTGCAGAAGCATCAATATTCTGAATTTTTATTAAATTAGCTTTCAACCCCACTGTTTTTCTTCACGGTAAAATCTGTCAATATTGCTCAAATTTTATCCTTTCTGCAGCAAAAATACTATGTTGCATCCTACTATACTGTTGCAGTCAGTATTATTTTACTGCCACGTAACCCAGAGGTAAAAACAGGCCTGACAATGATGTTACATGTGGAACTTGGACTTAAGTCTTTTTTGCAGTGAAGGTTTTAGTCACAAGCATTAATGTGAACTGTTTGTACAACAATTTACCTAATTATAGAAGGATCATACAAACAAAGAGGTATTACTCAGGGTCCCACAATGTTACCTCTGTGCCTGTGTTTTATATGGGACGTAGAGCCAAGATATCCTTTAGGTCTTATCTGGAATCAGATATGTGAACTCTTATTTGTTAACTACAGAATGCCCTTCTAACCCAGGTTTCTTATCAATTTTGAAGAAACGTTTAGAAAAATAAAATATTTAATGAGAATAGAGTGGAGTGTGTGTGTATATACACAAGATTATTTTTTCGTGTTGATAATTTCATTACAAGAAGCCAGCTAGTTTTGAAGACAGCATAGTCTTGAAATATGCTTTAGTAAGTTTAATTCAAGTAATTTAGTTAAGATTAACTCGCTGCTTTTTTTTTTGCCAATGCTGTAGCCTCTGTAGAGGTTATTCATTGTGCTATTTAGAGAAGCAATTCATTCATATCACAAGATACTATAGAATTCAGAGCTCAAGTCCCCGGTCCTTCCATTGTGTTTTGGTAGATGGAATCATAACCTTACTCAGGTGTCTGAAGTAAGTAGAATACTGCAAAGGGATCTATCCATGCCACTGCACTGCCTTACTTGTGTATTATCTTTTACGTGTTTAAATACGTGTTATAATCAGCTATAATTTCTAGCTTATTTTTTAGCTCTGTTGTAGTACCCATATTGAGCACAACCATTAGATTTGCCGTGCAAAAACACGTTCCTGTTTTGCGGTGCCACATTAGTCGTTATTTTTGCGACTTTAAGAAAGCATACAGTTACTTTAATATCTTTTTATTCTCTTCTGCGTGTAGCTGAGCATGATGGAATGGATAGAGCCTCCAAAACGAGAACGCAAAGCTAATTACGCAGTTGACGCTTATTTCAGAGAAGCCCTACGTGTTAGTGAACCGAAAGTCCCGAAGGTAAGAAGTTGGCAAGTATGCAGGGTTTTTTATGTTGTTCTGCTCTTCTCCTCTCCCATGTTGCATCCCCTGCTCTCACCCTATACTGGTAATAAAATGAACGTATTTGCAAAGTGATAGGTTGCCACTGCTGCTGAATTATGGCGGTTTTATTGCACAGAAATCAAGCTTATATAATGTTAATGTATCTGTGTATTTTTGAAGGCTCCACGACCTCCAAAACAACCAAATATTCAGGATTTCCAGTTTTTCCCACCACGGTTATTTGAACTTCTGGAAAAAGAAATTCTGTATTACCGTAAGACCATAGGATATAAGGTGATGCTTTTTTCCTCTTCAGATTAGTGAAATGTATTTGTATTCCTCTTTGCAGATGTAGTGAAACCTTGACAATAGCTAAATGAAGTAAATGAGACTGCAACTAAAAAATATATCATTCTGTTGTTACGTTTTGCAAAGTGCTTCTCATTGTGAAGGAAATGGCTTAAAACCTTTATTCGCCTCTTTCTGTTCTATTGCGGAACAGAAAAAGTAATCTGTAATTCCTTCCTTCATTAAAACTTTCGTATCTGTAGCTTTGTGTTTTGTGGTGGATTCCTAACAATAAAATAGAGTAGATAAAAGACAGACAGTTCTGATGCTTCATATACTTCTCCTCAAAAACAAAAGTGTGATATGTGGTCTAAGGTGAGAATATAATTTTTGGCTAATATGAGATCACCTTCCAGGGTATGATTTTTTTCATTATAACTTTTGTATACCTTGTGCAGAAAGGAACTTAAGGTAATATTGAAGTTGGCTTTGTGTTGATATGAAGGTAAGTAAAGTGACATCAATTTTCCTTGCATTTTGCTGGTATATAAAATGTTTAAAGGTGTGGAGAAGTCTGAATGTATTATTACTGCAAAAAGAAAACCAGACAACAGACTTACCTTCCCCCCCCCCCCCCCGCCCCCCACACACTATGGCTTAGCTGAATTTCCCTTCCCTACTGACATTACTGAACAAGCAGTGAACACAGATTCTGTTTTGATGTTGATTTTTCATTACTTGCACCAGTATTGGCTGAGTAAATCAAATGGATCCCCTACTTCCAGACATGTAACTCACTTTAAAAAGGCCCATGTTCATGGCAGGTTGGAGCAAGAAGAAATCGCGTATAAAATGTGTTGGAGAACATAAACTTGTCATACAAAGCAACGGATAGGAAATTGCTTTTGCAAAAGAGTAGAACTAATATTAGCAAAATACATTTTTAAGAAAAAGCAGAAGGGGTCTTAGAATCTAGTTTGAAGCAAAAGAATTTTATGTGGATGGCAGGATAGAATTAAGATAAGAATAAAAGGAAGTATAATTAGCTTAGGGAAAGAAGGTATTCAATTAATGCTCCAACAAATAAGCATGAGAGAGTTGCTAATGTTGACAATATGCATGTAAAAAGAGGTGTTTCTGTCCTGTTAATGAAACCTGTCAGACTGGATAGGTCAAACATGAATACTTGTCTTAAAAACTTGGTATGACTGTTTACTGGTGGTGAAAGTGATAAATATGATTAAGTTTGTTCTGCTTTGAAATGGAAGTATAACTTTCCATCTGAAGAGAGTTTATTACTAAAACTGAAGACTGCCATAAATACTATCAGAAGGTATTAAATAGGTAGAGACCAAGCTTTATGTGTCAGTCTTAACGTAAACCACCAAAGCCAACAAAATTTCTTTGCCAGATGTTAAAAACAGCTCTTAACTTCCTTTGCCTTTTTCTGCAGAAATATGTAAGGTCTACAAAATCTTTACTGGATACTGGTTTCTGACTTGTTTGCTGTTGTGTGGTACGGAATTGCAATGTGCAGTTTAAAGGCCACAAATACTAAACTGGTGTCAGTGTGGAGAGGGACAGATAAAATGTTGCTAGGCCTTGTTTACATAATGTTGTCTGTCTGGTCCTTGCTTTGGCAGTATGCATAGCTTTATAGTAAACCTGGCAGAACTTAGTATCTCATTGTACTTACATCCAACGGTTTATAATGTTTTGTAAGAGCAGATCCTTAGCTAATGAAAAGTGTCACTGAAATCAGTGAACTGTGACAGCTTACACTAGGTGAGGCTCTGCCTCTCACAGTATCCCCGAGTCATTGTGTGTAGAAGTGGTGGGTATAGAGCATAACAAAATTATAACACGCATTTGACAAAATCTAGTCCTATTTTTGGGAAGAAGGGTTTAAGCAATAAGAGTAGAATCTAGGTAAAACACATTTGGTAACTGTTGTACAGATCAGTGCTTTAATATTTAATAGTTGGAAAAAAGTATTTTACCATTTACATGTATTCTACGGGGTTTTGCACTGAAGTTTCTTAAAGAAAAAGTGAACAGGACCCTTTTGTTACTTATGTGAAGATAAACTTTACATTAAGAGCTTGTGAGACAAGAAGGAAGAAGCATAGATAAATGACAGTATTTGATACATCACCTTGTCTTGGAGGATAATATTTTCAGTTTTGCAACAGTTTTGTAGATACTGATGAAAATATTCTGGTAGTTACTTTAAAAAATATTTTTATTGTGATTTGGTTTCTTCAGGGTAGCCAAGGTGTGGGGTGGTTGATTTTGTTTGTTTGTTTTTGTTTGGGTTTGGTTTTTTTTGTTCTGTGACAACAAATGCTTAGTGGGTGTGGACTATATCAGTCCTGTGAGATCTAACGTGGTTATAAATTGTAAACCAAGGTTTGATAGAAAAGTGTACAGTATCTTTAATAACATTGCTGCACTACTGCTTATTGATACCCCTGATTTTTAGGTCCCCAGGAATCCTGACCTCCCAAATGCAGCTCAGGTACAGAAAGAGGAACAAAAGAAGATAGATGAGTCTATGCCTCTGAATACTGAGGAAAGTGAAGAGAAGGAAAAGCTTCTAACACAGGTAAAATAAAAACAGCCAAAGTATTTAATCCTACATTTTTTACTAGTATGGAATAGAAATACTAATAATGATAAATATGTACAGGAAAGCTACACGGATGTTACAGAAAGGACACAACATGTAAAGATTTTGCTTGGTTTTGCTTTGAGGGACCTTTCCTGTCCTTGAACAAGTTTACGTCTTAGTCACCTACTATTTCCTTGAATGTCTGCACCATTTCTGAGGCAAGGACTTTTATAGTAGATGCACTACCCAGCAATACATGCAGAAATCCAATCAGTCGGTTTCTCGTATACGCATCTACCTTGCATGTTTTTTTTTATCAAAAAGTGTTTGAATCAGAGAGGACAAGCCTCTATCAACATAGATGGTATTTACACAGATGTATAAGACATGTCACATCCCTTAATTTTATCCCAGTTGGGTTGTTAAGCATGTTCCTTTTATACTGGGACTGAATCCCTGTCACTGGCTAGTTTCTTTACTTTTTGGACTGTTATACCGCTGAGTAGGCTTATTAAAAGCTAATTGTTAAGAGAAAGGTGTGTCTCAAAGTAACAGGATTTTTTGGTTCTGAGAATTTTCTGTAACAGAACTGGGTGTAGTGTACGTTGAGAAGAAATTTGCAAGGTCGCAATCTGACTATTAATTTCACCTGTTTATAGCAGAGGAAATATTTAAGCTGGTGCTGATATGCATGTCAGTACTGCTGTTAATGATTAAAAATAAATATTTGTATTGTGTATGTTAGACTGCTTGTAAAGATGCTATCTAATTGTGGAGTGAGCTTATTCAGCTGGAGAACTGACAGAGTTCCTTGTAAATGTATTTCTGTGATGAAAGAAACTCAGTGCACTACAAATTGCTGTTCAGGCATGTGATTTTCTTGTTTGTTTGTTTGTTCTTGATGTTTTCTCCTTTCCCTGTCTTTCAATTGTAATGTCTCATTCTTGGATGATGTTTTTGTACGTTGCATCTCACCTAACTGTTGTTCAGTTTTGGATTCATTTCTTCGGTACATAATAAATTTTTTGTTTGACAGTGCTATAGAGTTTCCATTTGATTGCATCTGTTTGGATTAGCGATTGTTTCTTGACATACTTATGCTTTCATCCAACTGTTTGTCTGGTTCAAGGTTTGTAAATGTCTGAAGTAGGAGCTCTTGCTTTAGATACTTGCAATACTCCAAGAACTTGTAATGACACTTGCATTGGTGCACCCTATACTAAGATATTTGTTGCTTGTATCTGCTGAAAGGTGACTTAAATGAAGTTACAGTAACCTGTCATTGAGCTTGTTTCTCCAAAGAAATACCACATAAAAAGTTTAAAAAGAAAGAAGAGTAAAAAGCTCTTACTAATGTATGTGGAGTCATGCACAAAAATAACTCTTTAGACTTTTAATGATTCAGTAATAAACCCTGGATAATACAAGTTTATGGAAATCCTGAAAGATCATTAACCACTGTAATTATGTGACATTGCAGAGACATTGCCAATTGGAGCAAATGATACATACATAAGACAAAATTTTGCAAAATATTTCTCTTCTACCTAGTAATGCCTTCTTGATCTGTTGCTGCTTACAGGGTTTTACAAACTGGAATAAAAGGGATTTTAACCAGTTTAATTTAAAGCTATGAGAAATATGGTCGTGACGATATAGACAATATTGCCCGTGAGGTGGAGGGAAAGTCACCTGAGGAGGTCATTGAGTATTCAGGTTTGTGATATTTTGAAATTTATTTCTTAATCATGTGGTATCACCATCATTTTTGCTACATGTTCTTTTAAAATTACAAGATGTAGAATTCGGATGTGTATAATAATAATTTTTTTTTTTTTAAAAGTACATGATGGTTCTTTTCAGAATACTTAATTCTGTTAAAAAGGTTGCATTTGCAGCATATAAATATGCCTTCAGCTGCCTTTATCCCTCCTTATAAAAATTTAGAACTTGGCATAGTTAATTTACATTGACAATGTGGTCTTGTGGAATCATGAAGTTGCCTTATAGTGGCAATGTGATTCTTTATGCTGTGAGTATATATGCTATTTTAGATAGTACACTGTATCTTTGTCTTTTGTATTTACATAATGCTTTTTAACTTGTACAGAATTCTTCCTCTTTCATCCTTGCATTTAATTTTACTAAACGCCTTCATAAAATTTAACTTTTCAATGTTCTTCCTATAGCTTAAAAAGGAAGAGCTCCACAAGAGTTCCCTTCAGAGTGTTGAATTTATTTTGGGTTGGCTAAAAGATGTCACTGGAGAAGCCAGCAATTACTAGCTTTTATAACAGATAGACTAAGTAGTCTCTGACCTTAGAGATAGCTAGTGAAAATTGAAATATGAATGTTTTAACTGCTAGACTAGCAGCTCTAACCTGTTTCAGCATTGTTACAAAAAGCTATCCTTAAAAGTATTTTTTTTCAGTTTTACATGACTACAATTAATTATGTTGAATGTAAACTTTGTAACAGTTGTTACTAAACCTTTGCTTATAGTTAACTTTTAAAGACATTGAATAAAGGGTCTGTGCAAGTTTATTTCTTGGCTAGCATGGTAAAAAGGAGAGCATTAGCAAATCTTTTAAGATTTAATGGAACCACAAACTGCATTCTTTTTTTTTGCTGGAGTAAAGTAGTAAGAGTAGAGGAAAATATCTTATTTTACAAATTATGTTTTGCGTTTATAGCTGTTTTCTGGGAACGTTGTAACGAACTACAGGACATTGAAAGGATTATGGCTCAAATTGAACGAGGAGAGGCAAGAATTCAACGGAGGATCAGTATCAAGAAAGCTCTCGATGCCAAAGTAATCGTTGCAGGTTTTTTGTTTTCTGCAGCTGACTTCTTTCAAATTCCTTCAGAAAAGGAATAGTTGGGGATGGGAGTTTTATCTTTTTATATAGCATATATAGTATACAATGTATCAGTAATCTACGCTAATATGTAATAAATCCTTGATGTAATATTGTATGTTTAATAGTCCTTATTTTTGTTTTGCATTCAGATTGCAAGGTATAAAGCACCTTTTCATCAGTTGCGTATTCAGTATGGAACAAACAAAGGGAAAAATTACACAGAAGAGGAAGACAGATTTTTGATATGCATGTTACACAAGATGGGCTTTGACAAAGAAAACGTGTACGAGGAACTAAGGCAGTGTGTGCGCAATGCTCCTCAGTTCAGATTTGACTGGTTTATCAAATCTAGAACTGCAATGGTAGGTATCAGTTATGTGAACGAAGTGAAGTGTCTTGTTCCTTTTTTTAAGCACCATCACATAAAATTTGGATTTGTGCCAGAATATTGGCGTCTAGGAAACAAGTGCTGAAAGAATAACTTTGTTTTTTATTCTCATTTCTAGTTTTTAATGAAATAACCTTTTCCCTTAGTACAGCAAATAACACAATACAGCTGAAACAAACAGATTAGAAAACCTGCCAAGCTGAAGTCCCATGTTACCCAAAGGGATTAATGCAGAGGTAGACTATCCTTACAAATACCCTTGTTACTTTTATTGCAAACTCAAAGTTTTACCAAACACAGTTTGTTAAAATATGACTGCTTTTCAGAATTATTGGACAGTATTAAAGACTGAAAACACCTGAATTATAGACTGGGAGAAAAGAACAGCTTTTCTAATATTGGTACTTAACTTCTAAAAGCGTGAGGAAGTTTAGTGATTCACGTCAGAATTAATCATTGAAGCAATTGGTTTAAAATGCACTTTGTAGTTGTGCATAAGGATTATCACATACAAGTGCTTAAATCTTTTTAGTTATACTTTTCTGAATATTTTGTTCATACTTAGAGAATATAATACAAGTTTGATAGCAAGTAGACTAGTACTTTGAATTTTAGCTGCATTTCTTTTCCTTTCTCTGTCTGAAGAGCAGAGCCATTCTTTTTTAATTTAGCCATTAAGCGGGAAGTGGTAACACTAACAGAAGCTTTGGTGGTTGCAAATAATAAGCTACCAACCTCAGAATATGGGACTCCTTTAATGATAAAAAGCTGTTAGCTCTGCTCTGGGATTTTTGCTCATATCTCCCTTGATTCAGTTCCTTTTTCTTAAGAGTAAAATTTGTAGGTCTGTGCACCTTATGTAAGAAAGACACGTGCATTTTCATGTGAACATATTTATATGGGAAAAATGTACTTCCAAATTTTTTTATAATACTGGAAATAACTTCATCTTACTCACTTGCAGTGAGTGAGAGCTGGAATATTTTTTTTTTTGTCTGCGTGAATACAAAACCATAATGGTCGCGGCTGATACAAAAGAGTGGAGCACACAGTCCCTTATACAGCTGTCATAGATTCTCCCCATTGTCTTGTAAGCAAATTTCTAATTAAATGCTATGCTGCAGTGATGTAACTTAAATGTCATTTCATATACAAATCTGGATTTTTTTAGTAGTTTAGTGTAGCAATTGCAGAACCACTGTGCATTATTGCTTACTGTCCTCATTTCCTGGCCTCAGGATTTGTTTGTAAAATGTTCTTTCGGAGTTCTGGGTACTGTACTAAGAATACATAAAACATAAGATAAAATATTTAAAATGTGTGTTTGAACAGGTGGGAGTATTTGCTTTTCCCAGTGCTACTTATAATTACGCGATACAATTTCTACTTGATATTTCAGCAATTAAAGTGTTTCTGGATAGTGCAGCATTTAGCCCTTAATTAAAAAGAATTACAACCTTCACTTGCCAAAATGTCTGTTTGAAGAAATACTGGATTTCAAAATTATGTCCATAAAGACAAAAATCTCCAATATTTAGTCTATTATGAAGTTTCTTCTAAGTTGTCTATGGAGGAATCCATTTAAGTAAATCATAGAAATGGGTACTAGAAACTAAAAATGTAGCTCAACATTTAATATTAGTTGACATATAGTTAAGTCAGGGGTGGAGTTAAATATTCAATTTAAAACTTATTTCAGATCCTTATGTTCAGTATAATTTTCTTTTTAAAGGGGATAGGAAGCATTTGCTAAAGTGTAGAAATGTGTTCTGTGGTGTCTAATGCTGAAATTGAGGCACTGGGAATATAGTGAATCTTTTGGCTTATGTTTTCTCTTAAAATTCTATCCATTGCTATTAATATTTTCAGGTTTTTTGCTATTACACAGTTGAAAAAGAATAGTATGAAAATACAAAGCTAAAGTAATCTTTCACTTTCAACATGCATTTAATTTTCTTCAATGTTTTAAGTTGTCATGATAGGTATGGTTTAGTAGTTTATAACTGCTAATCACTGATATATTTTATGTATTCAAATACCCTGACGTTTGTGGAAGTATTAATTTCTATGGGTCCGTTTTGCACTAGCTTGGTAATTTTTATGAAGAAACGTGCTGGAAAGCCACTTGATACCAAGAATAATGAACCAGGTATAAATACAAATCTTTATAAAGCTGTAAATAGTAAGTTCAGTGAAAGTGGATAAAACTTCTTAGACTACTCAAATTCACATGTGATCTCAAAATTACCCTTTATTACATTCAAACTGATACGAAACAAGATAGAAAGGGCAGCATAATTCTGAAAAGGACCTACCAGGCTCTTCAAGAAAACTTTGTTTACTAACCACTAGATGTCTCTTGAATTCCATATAAATAGCTAATGTTTCTTCATCTTTTTATTTCTGTTTCTTTTCCTTCTGAAGATTTCTCTTTGGAAAACAAAAATTCTGCTTCATTTATTTGTTCCAAAACCAGATGGTTTATCCAAAATGTAAGTTTTCAGAGATTGAGGGTGCCTGAACTGTAATTTTTTTTTTTTTTTTTTTTTAACTGGGCACAGAGGTTTAAACTTTTAAGTTTAGTTGTTATTATTCTTTTATTTCTGTCCATGCAGGAAGAATGCAAAATATCATGGCAGTAGTGAATCATGTATCTGTTTTCTGAAGTCATAAATTATGCATATTCTCTTACCTTTCTGCAAACCCTACCCAGTATAAGACAAATGACTCTTTTGTAAATACAGGAATATACGGGCCTGTTGACAGAGCTTAGGACTGCTTTCACTCCCAAGTCAGCATCTCTGCCTTCGGTCATGCAGAAGGTGATAGTTCAGTGCTCCCGTCTTACTTATTGCAATACTAGTCTTTATAGCTATGAAGGGGTGAGCGAAGTACATCTGACCTCTTTCCATCCTAAAGAGAAAAGTATCAGGCCACACTGAATAAAATCTCATCTCTAAAGGTGCAAGGCATTTTAAACTCTAAGTGTATTTTTATAGTAATAAAATGGAATGGATCAGTCCATGTTGAAATTTCAGTAGCTCAATGCAGGATTTATCATGCAGATTCTTTCTGATGGTAGGTGTAGAAGAAACCCGTGTGCATGTCACATCTTACTGTCAACTGCTTCTGATTCTCTGGAGAAAATTGGTTTTGAGTCCATCCTCTGTCCACAGCATGTTGTTCTGGAGTAGTAGTCCATCTGGAAAGTCTAACCATGAACCTGTACACTTTAATAAATGTATGTATTTATGCAAGCATTTTTCCCCAGGAAAGAGGAAGATTTTTCTTAGTGCCTTACGCAAATGGATCAAGGTTATTTCTTAGTCTTTCTGATTAATTGCTTGTCTTGAATTTGACACAAACCAGCTTCTCATGTACTAGAAAAGATACAGCTGGTTGTTATTATGGAGCAGCTTGTCATTAGTCTTTACCTACAGCTCCTAAGTCTTTGAGTGCAATGCACAGAAATCTAAATAATGTAAAATGCTTCTGACATGTTGACAATCATCTTTCTACTTTGGTCTTTTACTTTTTACCATCTCTATTTGTCTATAGAGTGTAGGTTTTGGGGACAGGTGCTCTTTTGTTCTGTTTGGGGATGCAATGTATGTTGGGATGGCTTGCACTCAAGTTTTCTCAGACTTGTTGCTTTTTTATCTAGAAACTGTTGTGTGGGTGGAATTTGAGAGTTTTTATTGGTTGAAGTGAGAGTATTTTAGCTCCAGCAGGACTGTCACATTCCAGGGCACAAGCATGGCGCCCTGTCGTGGTTTAACCTCAGTCAGCAACTAAGCACCACGCAGCCGCTCACTCACTCCCCATGCCCCCGGTGGGATGGGGGAGAGAATTGGAAGAGCACAAGTGAGAAAAACTCGTGGGTTGAGATAAAAACAGTTTAATAATTGAAATAAAATGATAATAATAATAATA